GGCAGCTCGACGTTCGACCGAGCGATCTTCTATCGGAAGTTCTTGCAATCGCACGATACATTTCGACCTGTCCTTCCTCTTTGTACCGGGGTTTTCCTTGATGCGGCTTTGCCACTCCCCTCCTTCTACCTCGGCGGTGACGCTGATGCAATAGTGGGTCCAGATTTTGCCGATAGCGGACGGACTGCGCTTAAAGTCTCTGGCGACGGCTAGCTTTGCTCCATGTGGTAGATCTCCGTCAATACTGAGTTTTAGGAGCTCGTCGATGATGCAACAGCGTTGGCAATCGGTCAAGTTGGTCATAGAGAAGTCGGGGAGCACTGATAGAGCGTAGTATTAGCTGAGCAGGTACTTGGGAAATCAGGAAGAGGGCTTCCGGCTATTCAAATATTTGTAGCTCGGCCCCCAGAACGCTTTCAGCGCCAATCAAACCACCAGTCAATTGCTAGCGATTACGCGCTTCTGTTGGACGAATTAGATTTTGATAACAATTGCTGGAAATGTTTTTATAATTACATTTATATGAAACATCCATCATTTCGGACCAGAGGTAGTAAACTGAAAAAAGTAATGACCTGGTGATGACCTTTGGACCTGGTATCTCGAGATATTAACCGATTTTTGCATGATATCTGTGGATACCAGCACTTAGGTCATGACCTAAATACTCCGTTTCATTGGCAAAGAATGGAGGCAGGTTTAAACCAGAATTCGTGGACTTCCCAAGAGGTGGACGGGCTCCCAGCAGCGGGGGTAGATAGAGCAAGGACACGGCGGGCTTAAAACAGTGCTGCAGAAAATGCTGGAAGTTCGAATCCTATCGTGAGTATGGTGTGTCTGCGTGCTGCTCAGCAGATCAATTGACTCCTAAGCCAAATCGATGAGGTGGCCGACCAAGCGTCGGGTATCTGTGAGGTGACCGAGGAGTCCACGGCGATGACTGCCGATTGGTCCAGTGCGTGGCGGTGCAGACCACGCGTACCGGTATAACCATGGGTAAACAGTGACCGCCTAAGGAGCAGGACCCGGACGTGTGCTTGGGTGAAAACTTGGACGAGCCCGTACAACCAGATCACCGGTGACGGCACGCACATGCCTACCGGAGATGCGTGAGTGGCCCGCCAACCCAGCTCGAGCTCAAGTGAGGGAGTTGTCGGTATGCCTAGTGCTAAGGACTTGAACGGTGAGGCCATCGACGCTCTCTACGGTTGCGTCGAAAATGACCTCGGTCGGTGAGGGAGGTAACAATGACCTGGTCTATGACCTGCCTCTGATGTCGAACAGCAGCAAAGCGAAACGCGACGATAACTCGAGCCTCCAGTGTGCCGGTCAGAGAAGTGCGTTTTGGACACTATTGTCTCGCCTAACTGCGCGTTCTGCTGCAACGCCTACTAAAGCTGCGACTTCTGCGGCACCGTTAACTCGAAGAAATGCCAGTTGCCGGGCCAGTGGGACATGGTCGCTTGCGACATTGAGGCTCAGGAGTGGG